AATGCTCAAAGAACGGTTACAGACATTCATATGCAATATTTACTCAACCTTTTCAAGAAATGCAGTATTCCTCTTTATATTAAACTAGCCATGGATCAAGCAATCAAATGGAGACATTCAGTTTCGACGAGAAACATGACTGTTAGTTATGAAATAAAACCAGCCATGCATGACCTACTGGAAAAACTAGAACTATCCTATGGAATAGTTTTGGTAAAAAGGATTCTGTAGTATATGACATTGAGTCATCATGGTTTTTTTGAAAATTATCTTCAAAATATTTTAGCCAATGATCAAACTGTTCTCATGTACATTAGAGATCGATTTAAAGATCATAAATTTTCATCAAGCAGAATATCACAAATATTTCTCATTCGATTAATTCATGCTTTAAGAGAATATTTAAGTGGACCAATGTATTGGTATCACCGAGCAGTTTGGGAAGTTGCCACGGATCGGTACTGTCAAAATGCTGAGAGTAATCAAGATTATTATAAAACCACCGTCAAAACTTATCAACATGAAAAATTCAATAAATCAAATCCATTCTGGATGAAGGAATTGCTATATCGTGCCACTTGTGCAAACAATATCGACGATCTTAAGAACAACTTTTTGCTCAATCTCAAATTTACGCAAATGAAAGAACGAGGATCCGATATTGATCAACTTATAGCTGATTATGAGTTTGCTATTTACAATCACAATCAGGATCAAACTTTGAGATTAGTTCATCAAGTACTTCTGATCGCGTATAAAATTCGTCAAGATCCAGTACAACTTCCCGGTCAATTATTTGGACAATTGCATGGTTATGCAATGGGTGCTGGTTTGCAAAATTGACCTGAAGAATGTTTGTCACCGCCGGAAGATGCAATTGTTTCAAACAAAAGATTCATGACTGGTCCAATCTCTTGAGTAAAAGTCTCATTGCTCACAAGACTGAAATCATATCAACGTTGATTAGTAACGGTAATCGAAGAATAATAGCTTGTTCGGTAGACAATTGTATTAAAGTATTCGATGGAAAGCTATTAACCGAAAAAATAACTATCTATGAGAACCATGATTCGACTAGCATATTGACAATTTCAGACGGTGATACTATTCTCTATGTATGGTGCAGAATAACAGACGAAAAACACAAAGATCAACCGTTTGTTGAAGCCTTCAACCTGAATACTGGTAATTATCTATTCACTGTCGATCCAAAAATCTTACACAATGATCTGACTAAACATCGCGAAGTTTTATTCGGTGATTTGAAAAACGAATTGTGATTAGTAACCAAGAATAATTGGTATTATCTGGACTGGCAAACTGCTGTTCAAAGTATTTTCGAAATTCCGCAGGAATTAGCTCAAATATGAGACTGAGAACATTTTACAGAGATCTTGTATTCCACTTATTGGATATAGTAGCAAGGGTTGGATACTATCACATGATCTTTTTATCAGACAAACAAGTTTTCCCATATTGTCTTTTTATTGTTGCTAGTCGAGTACGCATACGTTTTGAAAAATGATTTATACATTGTTTTCTATCAATAACAACATTGTCTCCATACGGTTTAACTTCAACAATCGGGACATCGGTTTTGGTGTCACCGTCAGCTATGTATTGTAAATACCGTAGTTGATGCTTTTCTTCCGAGCGACAAAACATTTTCACTATTTAGCAAGAGGGAAACAGGATAACATAAGTTTTTGTTTTTCAGTGAAGATTAGTGTCTTACTGCTGCGCTTTTCATTCCTCCGGCAGAACCCTCATAGTTGGCTTCACATCCGCTTTCTAAATGTTCATCAAGTAATTCCTTATACTTTTCGCCATCTTTTTCTTTTATACCTAAAGAATTAAAAAGGTAGAGGTGGAACAAACTACTGTAAAAGGTGAGAAACTTTCTTGTTACCACAACATACAGAACATTTGCGACTAAGAATCTCGTAATCCAGGACTGGACGGATTAGAAACGCTGAGAAGATTGCCAACTCCATGTAATGAACTAAAACCCTGTGTCATCCAAGTGCCATCAACGGATACACTAATATCATTACCGCTAAAGTGACTTCTAGCCTCATTCGCAGCAGTGCTCATGCTTTTATCAGCAGTTTCTCTTGTAGCTACAACTAGTTCGTTTTCGTATTTCTGAAAATTTTGCAGTTTGACAGATGGTAACAAGCCTAACGTGCCTAAACATAGAGAACATATGACCAGAGTAAACAGAAAAAACTGTACAGGGATGAAAAGTATTTACCGAAAAACATAGCAAGTTTATTCCATACCACTTCTGATGAGCTTACTGCTGCATAGTGCTTCCATGGTATGATTATTTGTATTTAATAATAGTAAGACAAATCTATAAGATAGAGAGCAAACCAGTTACCGAATTCTGAACAAATTTGATTTTTTTGCACAATAAACAATAGACCACCTAGGCAAGCCGTTTTTTGAGTCAACACATGTTGAAACGCGTTTTTGGTGAAAACGAACGCGTTAGTGTACTATAAACGCATCGAAACGCGTTTAAAGGCAACGCGTTCTGATGCGTTAGAGAAAAGGGATGCGTTAATTACCAACGCGTTTAGCAGGACCATTATTTGGTAATCTAAAGCGTTTTTATGCTTTATTTTCTACTACATTTTAATTTTTTTCAAAGTGTATCATAAACCATTTTACTTTAAAATCTTCTTTTGAGATAGAATAACCAAAACAGCACGAATACAACAAGAAAAAGAAAATAACAATGCAACCTGTATTAGCAGATTTTTTTCACGTTCAACAGCTAGACGAATGACAGAGTAGAAACATCCTCTCTCAAAAAAGTCACTTATACCTGATGACTTTCTTAATAAAATGCAACTCAGTATCAGAGTTCGTCTTTAAGCAGAAAGATGAGGTACGCAATTATCGACCTAACAGACAAACTATTTCATTTCTCGCAGGCACATAGTTAGGTATGAGAAAGGAGATGATTGTCTGCGGAAATACTTTGTTCTGAGCGAAAAGATTTGTTTACTTTGTAAATGAAACTTAGAAGTTATAGAATAAAGAAGCAAACACTTTTTGTCTGACTGAGATTGTCGATACACATAGCATTGTTACTGTATATGTTTCGATCGTCTGTTAGCTCAGATGGTTATGTGTTTGCTTCTTAATTGTAGGTACCCACGTTCGAATCACACTGAAGTTATGTAAGTACGAGTTGTTTTCTTTCTATATTTCGTCACTCTACTGGGTTGTATAATCGTTTGTATGTATATCTATGCATCCAGACATGTACAAGAATTTAATCTGATGCTGACTTTTATTTTTTTTCATTTTAATTGATTTTCAACACGCGTTAAAAACTAACGCGTTTCAACGCAAAATGCATCCTGATAAACGCGTTAGAAATAAACGCACATCAACGCGTTTTTTGCCCGAAAAAGTTTGCCTGGACAAAATAATGTTTGAGGCATATTATGTAACATAAGTCTGCCAAATTCGAACTTCGATTCTTTACATTTTTGCTAGTCCCAAAGAAGTCTAAAAGGCTTTTTCTTGCTTTTCCACAAAATTAATGAACTATATATACTCGTCTACGTGATGATCGAGAATAGCCTTTTTAAAATTCAGAAAAAGTTGTTTGGCGAAATACTAAAGAATAATTCAGTTTGCCGCGAATGCGAAGTTTCCATGATCTCTTCGAAGGACTAAACTTCTCGTGAAAAAATACAATTCTCAAGAAGATGGACATTCTATCTTGTTATATGTAAACTTCTCGTGGAGAGAAGTAAAAATCCGTGGGAATGAGTGAAAATTCTTGTGAACAACTGAATCATATCACCGATATGTCAAAATTTTAAATAGGACTAGAGTCGATAAAAACGAAGTTTTTTGGATAGAGGATAGTCGATTGTATAGGTATCCGCCAATACTGGCTCGGGGTACTGCCTGTCGGGAAGCCAAAAAGTTTTTAAGAGCAAGAAACAAAAAGAAGCAAAAAAGTATAATGACTCGAACAGGAATCGAACCCACGCCGCAAGAATTTCTTTCTTTCTGCTCTTCCCATTGAGCTATCGAGCATATACTTTTCTATCATCCTTTTTTTACTATATTTGAGATGATGGGAAAATGAATTTTCATCAGGTCGCCGACACATTGTGTGTCGCTAGTTTATCGGAATGTGTCAAATTAGACAACGTAGCAGCTGTTAAAGGATAGAACCTGGCACTTTTATCTCACAAAACTAAGTATGAACTCTCAGAAATTCCTAGATCCTAGGTGTATGAAAAAAGAAATATCTATGCACTTCTAATTCAATTAAAATTATGAACTTTCGAAGATTTCACCGTTCTGCGGCACGAGACTGGCTAACTTTCACAGTGTATAGATGGTTTATGTGCTATCCACTTACAACGTGGTTGATTTTAAGACAAAAGGAGTATTAAAAAAGAATAAAAAACATTTTTCAAGACTAGTAACAGCTGCTGTGCTTTAATCCGTTCAACTTTTTTCATCTCCAGCAATTCCGATAAAGTCATTTTCTAAACGTATTTTTCATGGTTGGCGACCTGATGATTTTCATTGAGGTTTTGTAAAGATCTTTCAGAAACATATGCAAAAAATTACCTAACTAGAAACTCGAATTTTGCATTCTCATGGCGAAAACTGAAAGAAATTTACTAGCGTAGACAAAAAGGAATGCGAGGAGTAAGTTATTCATTGGAAATTTTCCACTGTGGATATTGTTCTCTAAAGAATCAGCGAGAAGTGGAATGTAAATGAGAATTATATAATGCGGCGCTGATATGCGTTAAAAGTACAAGATGTAATGTTCAGAAAATGGTAGCATCTGGCAAGTCACCTGGTTCTATTAGCTTGAAAGTGTGACTTTTTGAAAAATGAGTTGGTGCGCCTTCTTCATATCATCAACGGTATAATGTACTTGTAGGCTGGCTACCGAAACACTAATCCTAGCTAAAAAAACAAGGCTTGCATCTTTATTCTTTATGACACATGGTCAGGGACGAAACGTATGACCTACCAAAACACTTACCGTTTGTGACTGAGTAGATTAATTCTAAAATGAAACAGATGTGTATCGGTACAGGCAAAAAACAGCTATTATATACGACGTATAACTAGGAAGTGTAGTTATGAGATAAAAGGAAATACTTTTAAAATCTTTCTTCGCTTATTCATATGACACCTTTATGCTATATACTTGTCCGATAATAACAAATTTTTTGCACTTATTGTCGAAGAATTTGTGTCAAAACAAAATCAAAGAGTAATATGTTAATAGTAATCATGAAAGTTCTGAAATTTTCGTTTTATTTAAATTTTGAACTGATTATCGTACACAGAACACGAATAGATGTGTCACAAAGGTGTGACTATATTTTATTATTTTTTTGACACAAAGACGATAAAAACTGATTTAAAAAAACCTGAATGCATATCTTTCTGTCTTGTGTGGATACGATTTTATGGGGAAAATATGGTTTAAAAAATAGAGCTATTTTTCGGAAATAACGATCTTTTCAAAAATTTTCTTGAGAGCGTACTTAACATTTTGGAACTTTTTGTTCGTTAGTGATTTGGTACCTCTGCACATATAGAATCTAATCTGACGGTATTAGGTCATGAAAATGTTTCACTAAAAAATGGTGAATATGCCTACAAAAGGTCTGTTCTGCTGGAAAATGCGATCTCAACAGGTCTAGATGACCACCGTGCCGTTGTTTTAGAATCTTTTAAACGTGATATTCGTCATCAAGAGCCCAAGTTCTACTAGTCCTGTTACTCTCGAATAATTCGGATAAAGTCGACGTAATTGTGGTACACTCGCGAAAGAATCACCCTGATGCCAAATCATTATAATTCAATTCGCACGTAGCTACATATTTAATTTGTGTCACTTTCAATGGAAACAAAATCGACAGTGGTAATGGAACGCTATTTGAATACAAATGAAAACGTTCTGGTGCCGGGAAACATTGTTTACGATAAAATATTAAATCTAAAAGATGCAGCACGTATAAATCATGGCATTAGAATAGTAAATTCAGTGATTTTAATTGATTTTACATTCTTTGGATTTATGGATGGTAAGACATTTTTTAAACAGTAGTTCAGAGTGTCATACTCGGCGCGGGTGTATTCAAATGTTGAGTCGAATGATCGATAATCAAACTAATTTTTGTATTCAAATCACGAAATGTATACAATAATTCATTTGTCTTAAAGTGATCAAATAGATCACGCCAAAGTTCAACTGTTAGGGATTCAATTGTACTACAACGAGATGGTGATAGATCAGACATTTATCCCAGGGGTAAAAAAATTGACAAAAAAACGCGTTTTTTTTTCGTTTTTAACGACCAAAAAACGCGTTAAAGGTTTCAAAACCAACGCGTTTCTTTTTGTCGTTTAAACGCGTTTTTCTTTTATCTA